CAATGAATTATGATATCCCTAATCTTCACCTCTATGGCCTCTTTAAACATTTTATTTTGTTCTTTTATACATATTATGCATGCATTTCAATTAAATATCACATAATAACTATATTTTAGTAATAATTCCCTAAATTAAAAAATCAAGTAATATAATTATCATTTTTGAAGAGATATAACTTTTTGAAACGTTAGATTTATGAGTATATTATTAACAGCTATAGTGGAGTATCACAAAATTTCTTTCTAAAATATAAAAAGAAAAAGATTAAGTATAATCTAAAAGATAAAGAATTTACTATAAATATAATTTTTTTGATACACTACCTTGGTATATTGTATCCGTAACAAAACATAGTGCTACAACAGGTGCTTTATTAATCAATCTTTGTAGCATTTCACCATCTTCTACTGCTAGCACCAATAAGGTTATATGATCACACCCGAATCTTACAATTAAATATTATATTAATTCTAATGTAATAAATACTTTTATTCTATCAATTACTTAATGATTATGATAAAGTTAACAACTAAGTTAACTAATTACAACTACCTTTGGTTCATAAGTAATATTGCATTTCTTTTCCTTTTCCATTCTTTAACGGAGGTCTTAACTTTCACTAAAACGTTAAGTATGTCCATAAAAAAAATTAAAAGAGTAACATGTAAAATGGAGAAGCCTTAACTTTCAATTAAATGTCAAGATGCCTACAAATAATATTAAAAGAATATACATGTGTATTTTAAAGAAATTATAGAGTAAATAGGAGTAAAATACATTTGATGGAGTATTAATCAACGAAGTCTAAAGAAATTACCACAGAGTCTCCTTTGGTACATTTTGCCTCATCGAAGGAAATCATGTTTCCTTTGCGGGTGTTTTTGATTTTGTTTCTTCTGGTTGCTTGAAATAGTTTGAGTTTATATGGTTAAAGATAATCTATAGGAAGTGAGATGATCATTCACATGACCATTTCACAATTAATGGCTGCTATTTCACAATAGTTTCACAGAATGATGTATAGGCTAGCGAAATAACACTGGAAACCCAAGCACATACTTTTTTCTTTCTTGTGAAATAAGGTATTTAATTATGATGAAAAAGAGAAAGTACTTGAGATCTATTGGACGTGGAAGTTTTACAAGAGAACAAGGTCTTTGAGTGGTGAGAAAAAATTAAAACGCTTACTTCAAACAATATATACTCCAGTCCTGAAAATCTTGGCTTGCCTCGTGAAGTGGAATGATTATGGTTGATGAGAAGAGTATCATCGTATGAAAAATGTAGTATGGGTGCTGTTTATTTGACAGTTGGAAATATGAATGGTTGTGACTATTCGCTGAGGATTAGACGCCTTTTTTGTTTAATTTCTTAAGTATATTAAGAGGGGTATTTTTGTAATCTAACTTTTTAGTTTCAGGGTTCCCACTTTTATAATAATACTAGTGTCTATGAATAATGACACGTGATGGTTTAAACATTTATTTATATGAAAGAATAATAAAATTTAATTAATGAGAGTAAATTTATGTATAATAATACAACAATCATCTAAATGCCGAAAAATATTATTACATTAGCATAATACATGAATTTAAAATAAAAAGGACAGCATCAAAACTTACAAAAATGGTCAATTTTGTCGTGTTAGATAATTTTTGTGAATAATATTTTTTTTTGTGTATGTTACCTCCTAATGCTTTGGTTGATTTGCCTAAATCTGAATTCTTGATATCCCTCTTGAAAGTGTAACATACTGTTGTTCGTGCAAGAAAATATATTGCGGTAAATATAGTCTAATATTTAGGATGTTTGTCCTTGTATATTTATTATATTTGCAAAACATAAACATACTAAAAATTATTTTCATATAAATTTAAAAGGATATTCCTTAGTTTCGGAAGACGAAAGTTGAATTAGGGATAAAATTATACTTTGAAGCACAATGACCAGTATCATAATTTTTGCATGTATGACGTTATTGTGAAAACTTCTATATACTATCTGTGTGCTATTACATAAGTTATTCGGTGTATCTAAGTTTTCGGTAGCATGACGGACATATTTTTCTTCAAAATCAACCTATATATAATAGAAGATCAATTTTAACTTAGTCTATAATATATGCGGTGACACTAACATACGTAAAAAAAATATTAACCTTGACAACAAAAATGTATGGTAGAAGGCCATTTGGTATTAAAGTATTTAAGTATGTTCTTCTTGGTAGTAATTATTGGTATCATTTCTGCTGAGTCAAAAATTGAAAAATATTTTGTTTTTACTATAAAATTTTGCAATCCACCTTTACTTTAGTTGATCAACATATTCATTTCTGCTAGTTAAGATATCTTTTTAATTCTATCATGCGATTTGCACAATTTGCGTTTTAATCTAATGGTAGAAATATTTCTCTTATTAAATCCACTATTATTACCATTAGAGTTGATAACCAAGTGTTCAGGAAGAACCAAATCATATTTTATTGGATGCTTTTCTTCATTTTCGACACGAAGCAAGAAGACACTAAATCTTGATATGTTCTTACTTTATATTTCTTGTGAGTTGAATCTTTTTCATTTAAGGCCAAAAGTATAACTTTGGCAAGTTAGTTATGTTTTTGTCGATTTTGGAACTGCCTGTAGTACTTGACAGAAATCACCTCCCAAACCATTAATTTTCCACCAAACGGTTTATTAATATCCAATATATCTCTAGAACTCCGGGCAATTATTTCGATCGTTTGACACTTAGCAATAAGTTCTTCATCCCATATTATCAACTTTGCTTTTCTTATAAATTTGTGATGGTATTTAAATTGTTTGAAGATGTATATCAAATCTAAAGTGGGTGGCCTCATAATAAAATCGTTATTGGTACATCACTTGCTATTATTGTTAATAGTGTCATGTCTCTTGATATGATATTTGCAAGTAATGCGTGACATAAAAATATTATTTCGATTCCACCGGAGGCATCTACAAAGAATAATCCTGTTATACCAGAGTCGAATCTTTGTAATATAGTCTTGAAAACTTGTTCTTGTTTAAGATTTAGCTTTGATTGTGTTTCCTCAGACACTTGTATAACATTTTGATTCTTAATAATATACTAACCTTTTAAATTTATGTTGTAATTCTTTTTTTATGGAATAAATTTATGTACCCTAAACAATTTTAAACTCGAAGAAGAATTTTACTCATGAATTTAAAAAATAATTGAATTGGATTCTCTTGCTAAATAATTAATTAAAAGATCTAATTATTTAGTTTTAATATAAAAATATTTTATTCTATGTTGATTCAAATCTTAATATTAGTTCACCTCTTGTTTCGAATATCATCCACCATAATTTTTTTTTTCCAAAGACTAAAAGATTGATCTGACATTTCGCGTTTAGATCTTTATGTTTGTAGAAACACAAGTGGTATTGACTCTTACCAACCATTTTTCCCCTCTTTCTCACATATTTATATTCTTAAATATTTTCTTAGTTGTTGTTTAATAATTGGATATTTTTCAATATTACAAGAAAAATTGATTTAAAAAATATTATTTGAGTAGGAACGTAGTTCAAATATAATATAAAAATATATTATCGTGGGAGTATTTTTATTTCTTCTCAATTTTAACTTTTTATGCAGTCCATTTAATATTACCTTTTTGTGGGTATTGGACATTATGGAATGGTAATGTATTGCCAATACAGAGGATTAATTTTTATGAAATTAATTTTATTAAACGTTCCTACATATTATAATAAGAATTTAATAAATAGAATTTTATTAATTTTAAAATCTTAAATATTAAACATTAGCGTAGAAGATATTGTAGTCCAACAAATAGGTTATTGCAGTTATGTCCTTTTCCTATGAGTTCTTTCATTTAATATTTTATGGTTATTTTGGTCTATTTGTACTATTATTTTGATAATAATATAGGCTCTTCTTTTTCTAAATAAATTTGGACAATATAATATATTCTCAAATTAAATTAGTAATAGGACATTATAATACATTTTCAAATTAAATTGTAATAGGACATTACAATACATTTTCAAATTAAATTAGTAATAGAAATTTTTAAGAAGTATATCCTAAAAGTAATAGGATTACATAACTAAAAATACGTATCTAACCCGAATGTAATTTATCTATCTATATCTATCTATCTAATATCTATATCTTTCGATGGATAATCCTATGTTGGATAAAATTGTCAAAGTTAAAACTTTACCATATTAGGACTTTAAAATTAATTGCAATTATAATTCTAGAATGAAATCGTTTTGCTAATGGCCTCAATTATTTTTTGTGCGTAAATTTTGAACAATGGCAAAAGGTTGTAGCCTATCACTAATTAAGTTAGAAATAACTTAATATTAAGGACTTTAAAGTGAAGTATGAATATATTACCACTTTAAACTTGACATTTTAGCCGTTTTATGATAAATGGATTTTTTAAAATACTATTCGAAAGTTCCTTTTTTTTTTTTTTTATAAACGACATGTAAGTCCCACAATTGTTTGAAGCTTGCTATACACGCTCCTTTTAGATTTTTTTGTACTTAAATTATTAAACAAAACATAAAAGATGTTGAGATGTATGTACAACGTATAGTATTATATGGCTATGCCCGAAAGTAATTATACTAAGAGCATTCCTAAAGGTAATCATGTAGGATTCATAATGTGTAGTATTATGTCCTAAAACTAATAGGATTATAAGACTAATATCTAGAATTTCGGTTATATCCTTTTTTTATGAGTTATTATGCTTAATATTCTAAGGTTATTTTTGTAATCCAACATCGTATTCATGCTTTTATAATAATATAGAAGATAGATAGATTTACTATTCACATTCCCTATAAAAAAAGGAACTAAAGGGAAGTAAAAACGATTTAACTTTTATACTTGTTTATTGAAATAAATACTTCCTTTTCTTTTTGAAAAGAAATAAATACTTCCTTAAATAGTTGGCGAAGACTTTACCTGTTAAACCCTTTTCTTAGTCTTTTCCTATTCCTATACAAATACAAACCCCAATTATTGATCTTTATATACATTGGGGAGCCTTAATACGCCAAAGAATCTCTATAGTCTCAATCCATCCATCCCAATTTCTTTTCCCTCTTGTTCTAGAGACTTCTTCTGTGCTCCTTCCAATGGCGTCCGATCTGGAGATTAGGGCTAAAGAAGCTTTCATCGACGACCACTTTGAGCTCGCCGTTGACCTTTACACTCAAGCAATCGCCATGACTCCTAAGAACGCTGAGCTTTTCGCCGACCGTGCTCAGGCCAATATCAAACTCAACTACTTCACTGGTATCCTTTTTCCTCTCTAATTTATCCGTTATTCTTTTTTTTGTGGTGGCTAATTTACTGGTAAATTGACTGACAAAGGATACAAAATTAGTAAGAAACGGCGTTGATTGAATTATTCTGTGCGTTTATTGCCGTCCACGATTTATTGAATTTGTAAAAGTTTTAGGTTATTTTCTACTTGAGTGCGTGGGCACTGGTGGATTGTTCGTTTAGGCTGGTAGTTAGGATTCAGGTTTTGGTGTTGTTGTTGGTACACTTATGTTAGATCCGGTATTTGTTTTAGGACCTGTATGTCTGTTTATTGATAAGTGTCAGATTTAGAGAATCTTGCGAATCCTAATTTGGCTAAAAAGTGAATTATCTAGTATCAGAACGAGATGGGCGGGAATAGACCCGAATGAATAGAGGATTCATAAAGCAAAATCCTAACTTTCTTCTTATTTATTGCCTTTAGTCAGTAACTAAAGAATCTGCAGTTGTTGAGATTTAATCTGTGGAGTTTCTAGTTAGAATTATCTAGTATCAGAACGAGATGGACGGGAATAGACCCGAATAAATAGAGGATTCATAAAGCAAAACCCTAACTTTCTTCTTATTTATTGCCTTTAGTCAGTAACTAAAGAATCTGCAGTTGTTGAAATTTAATCTGTGGAGTTTCTAGTTAGATTTATAATGTTTTATAAGTTTGTATGAAGTTCAATGGTGTAACATCCTGGAAAGACATCTCTTTTGTGTCTGCATCAGTGCATAGAGCATCATATTTCACTATATACTGTTAATTGTAACGCCTACCAATTGTTAGTTATAACTTCTAAGCGTGGTAGTAACTGTAATCATGTTTCCCTATGAGCAGAAGCTGTTGTTGATGCGAACAAGGCCATTGAGTTAGATCCTTCAATGTCAAAAGCATATTTGCGTAAGGGGTGAGTGTTAATAACCTTTCTATTTTAGTTTCTTATGTGGTGATGATATAATTTTGTTGTAAATTTTCTCGCTGATTGAATTTTGTGGTGTTCCATGCCTGTTCACCACATGTTTTTCTAGCTCATCTAACTTCTTAGGATGTTACAATAGCTGACGGTGAAATCAAGATTCGTCATTTCATGATTTATTGATTTGTTCAATATGTCTGATTTTCATCATCCTCCAAGAAGACTGCTGCAGCATCAGAGTTTTTCCCACAACCGCACACCATTTCACCCCACTCCCGAAATATGTTACTACATTACCATGTTATTGTTATTATACCTTCTTAGCTTTTACACTTTTGATAAATAACGAAGTCGAAGTGTAACAATATTATTTTTTGAAGTAGCACTTGTTATCTGTCTGTGCTGTGTCATTAGATACGGTGTTGTTGAATTAATTTCCTTTTTTTGGCGCTTTTCCAGGTTGGCCTGTATGAAGCTTGAAGAGTACCAAACTGCAAAAGCAGCTTTGGAAACTGGTGCTAGTTTAGCACCGGCAGAGTCAAGGTTCACAAAGTTAATCAAAGAATGTGATGAACGCATTGCAGGTAATTTACTGCCTTTGAAGCTGGCTCTTCTCACATTTCACAAATCCTGTCAATTCTAATCAACTCATGGCATCTATTGTGACTTGGTGCTATATTTTGCTCTAACAAGCAGTTTTATGACAATAAGAGAAATTTGGCTGTTTATAGTTCAAAACTAATAGAACCTACAGTTTTCTTGAAATTTTTGTGGTTATTTTCCTGACAGATTTATGTGTATAATGATGTTGCTATACTCTGGAACACTTAATGCGTCATTCACATCTTATAAGAATGGTTTCCATGATTTTGGAAGTCGCATGATCCTTAGTAAAACTAATTGATGATATTTGCTGGCTAAATTCAGAGGAAGCTGGAGAACTACCTAATCAGTCGGTGGATAAAACCTCGGGAAATGTCGTAACTCCCCCTGCATCTGAGTCTTTGGACAATGTTGCTGTTGCGCCTAAAGATGCTCAACCAACTGTCAACCTGTCCTATCAAGGATCTGCTGCCAGACCAAAATACAGGTTAGGTCAAAACCTTTGCCGTGTTAGTGAATTATTAAGTTCAGTAACTCTGGCATTGTACTTTCCTTTGATAGGCTGAATTATTTATCAAATGTGGGAATATGTTTGAGATGGTACTTGCACAATATTATTTGCTTTTATGTTTTAATCTTTCTCAAATGTTATTGCTTTTATGTTTTAAACATATATGATTACTCTTAATTAAAAAAACATACTATATGATTACTGCAACCTTGTCCTTTTAAAATAATGATTACTGCAAGCTTGTGATTAGCTTTTGGACTGGTTTTTTGCTCTCTTTCGGGTATTCTTTTGTGGAAAACACAGGATAATCTAATGTATGTAACTGCAGGCATGAATTTTACCAGAAGCCAGAGGAGGTGGTGGTGACTATATTTGCCAAGGGAATACCAGCCAAGAATGTTGTTGTTGACTTTGGTGAACAAATAGTATGTTTTACCCTTTTTTGATCCTGTTGAGATATCTTTATATAAAATAATTGGATGACGAAGCAAGTTCTTCTTCTTTCTTTGGTTGTTTTACAGCTTAGTGTTAGCATTGATGTGCCGGGTGACGAAACTTATTCTTTCCAGCCTAGGTTGTTTGGGAAGGTAAGCCTAAGCTTAAAATATAGCTGTGATATTTCTGGACAGAGCTCCATTTAAAATTTCTGACAAGTTGTTGCCTAAGTAATCGAAGATGCTTACTGTGTGATCTTGTAATTTTGTCTCTTGATATGCAGATAACACCTGCAAAATGCAGATACGAAGTGATGTCCACCAAAATTGAGATCCGCCTTGCAAAAGCTGAACCCTTACACTGGACATCTCTCGAATATACGAGAGAGCCTGCTGTAGTGCAGAGGCCTAATGTGTCATCAGGTAACCTGCTTGCTTGTGTAATATGTTGTTCTGGCTATCAGCCGTTCCTCTTTTCCCCTTCACTGTATTTGTCAATTTTCAGTTGTTTTCTTTACCATTGGACTGCTTACAATGACCAGTGAACTTACGAAATTTGTTGGTTACACTTATTCAGAAGCAAAGCTTACTATGGTTTGCATTTTACAGATGCCCCCCGGCCCAGTTATCCGTCCTCGAAATTGAGACATGTGGATTGGGATAAATTAGAGGCTGAAGTGAAAAAGGAGGTAGTAAAAAACATTACAGTCTTCTGTTTGGTATAGACCACAATAGGGTGGCTGTTCTATGCAGTTTAGTTTCTAAGTCTTCAATGCTGGTTTGTATTCCAGGAAAAAGACGAAAAATTGGATGGAGATGCAGCATTGAACAAATTTTTCCGAGACATTTACAAAGATGCCGATGAGGACACCAGAAGAGCCATGATGAAATCCTTTGTAAGTCCGGTGCCTGTCTATATACTTGATGTTAATACACTTTTATACAGGGATGCTTTGATGTTAATGAGTGCAGTATTCTATTGATATGAAACCCAATAATTATGAGGATCTGACATGAGATACTTATGAGACTGACTTCACCGGATAATGATATATCGCCTACCTATTAACAGTTTCTGTGATGAACATAATTGTCTCTGGTTTTATGGACATAGTCTTCTTAGGGGAGTGCTTTGGAGTACCGCATGTACCTAGCTCTCCCTGTTGCATTTTCTTTGAGGAGTTACCCACCTGCAATTCTCTTTATCTTTTCTTTTTAAATACCTTCATCGCTAGAACATCTCGTAACACTTCTTATCCTTCTGCGCCATTTCTTATGTTTCGGAAGTAATATCTGTCTGTGCTGTCTGTAGCTTATTTCAATATTTCTCGTCCCTGTAAAGGGTTGCATGTTAGATTTAGTTTGTTGTCCTTTGACTGACTTGTAAACTTGGTATACTGATTGCAAATCTTCTTTGCCACACACACACAAGTGGAAAGTAATATATTTTGTATACGTGCTGCCTCTCAGGTGGAATCTAATGGTACTGTTCTGTCTACAAACTGGAAAGAAGTCGGTGCAAAGAAGGTCGAAGGAAGCCCTCCAGATGGCATGGAGCTGAAGAAATGGGAAATCTAGAAGTCAAGCTCCTGTTATCTTTTGTGACTTGTTTTTTGGTTGTCATTTTTGGTATTGATTGTAGAAGAACTTGTCCATATTTTCTTTTTTAAGGTGGAAATTTTGATCTCTGCTGTGGATTGAGATTCCTGAACTCGCTTACAGAATTTACCTTTTGTAAGGGTTTCGGAGTTATGGACTGCTTTTCTTTTCCCTTTTTTGGGTGTTTTTATTTTTATTGCATGTTCCCTCAGCACTTATACAGTGAAAGAAAAAAGGAGAAGTCTACTGCATCCCCTTCCCCCTTTCTCTCCCCTTCTGTGGGTGGTTGCTAGGCATAAACTTCATTAGATGTCGCGGTTGTGAAACAAGGAAAGCCAATAGGCAGCAGCCAGCTAGTTTGAGAGAGCTGTAATGAGATTTATCGCGCTGGTGATTTTGATTCCAAGGACGAGAAAAATCATCAGCTGGACGTCTCCAAATGAGGATCATAGAGATAGATGTGGATGATGATGACGTTCAGCACCAACACTAATTGTGGCAAATTTGTTCATACCTTTGACTGAGCAAGTTGCTTATAAAATTTTCCCTCTTTTTCATAAAACCAGAAAGAAAAGTAAATATGAAATTGCTCAAAGCGCATGAAAATTCTTGGGTTTTTGAAAATACAAATGTTGAAATTAAATCGCCAACGCATTACTTTAAGTTACCAATGTATAAGGAATTCCTCTTCAGTGCTGCATAAATCGCACAGAGCAAACATTTCACTATAGCACTTTTCTTGTTGAATCTATATTTTCCAAGTATATGTAGAAAGCTGGTCACAGGTGGTAAGGTGATTTGGCATATTTATTATGCTTAACTAGTCCATCCCCAGCTAGGGGACCTTTCATCTCATCTCAACACTTTAACCATCCTCCAGGTGAAATACAATCTTCAAACACAAAGAAATGAAGGATGTTGAAGTATCGCATCAAAGATTTCACATGAAAACATAGAAAGCGTTAAGAAAGAATCATCACCAAAGTACAATAAGATTGCTACTAAAAGTATCTTAACCTTTGAATTAATTAGGTGTCTTAAAAAGCCCAAAATGCTAAAAGTAATAAATCTCATACACACCAATTTTGGACTTAGAAAATAGAAACTTTATCACCTAAGATCCTCAAGTGTGGTGGACCGGTGCTGTCAAGGGTCTAACTTCCTTGTAGCTTTCCCTTTTGTGAGCCTTCACATAAAAATTAAAGTAATTAGTAGGCTCAACAAAAAGAAAGTTAATCAAGTGAGGATCATTACTAATATTTCAAAAGATTGGTTCTCTTTTGCCCCCGAAGTCGCCAATCCTTTGTTTAAATATTACCAATAATAAGATTACACTCACTAGGATCGAGCGGAGCCTGAAAATATCTCCAACAACAGAATAAAATAAAAAATTACAAAACTAAAAACACGTTCTCAATGAGTTTTCTTTTTTTCATTGATTGACACTCAATACTCTTAATAGTTTAATTGGTTTATAGCTAATAATATCCTCTTAATTATAATGTCATTATTGGTTTGAGCATTGAAGTGGCCCCCAATTGACGTGTCCTATTACTGAACTATTTTTTCTCTTTATGTACTCTTCTTACAAGGATCGTACGTGTATAGAGATTTAAATTCGGATAAGTGAAGTTGGAAATAGCTTGTGAAATTAACTACAAGCAGAAGATACTTGTGTTAGTACTAAAACACCTCCACAGTAAACAATGGCATAACAACACATCACCTTGTTATGGTGGTAGGTAGCTCGAGCCTATTTCAGGCATCGACGATCTTAAATAACATCGGACATTTGGAGACGATCCAAAGAGAAATAGCATTTTAAGAGGGTGTATGGCCTTAAATTGAAACAATAAGGCTAAAGTTATATATTCTAGTATAAAAATTCAATAGACCCTTCCCCTTATGAACTTGTGAATTTTGAAGATTTATATTATAATGTCTTTTGTCCCAATTAAGTTACGGGGAGTTATGTACGTGGAGTTCAATTGAACGATATTGTAGAATAATTTTACTTTCTTATAAAATGAAATTTAGATATATTTAATTATTTTTAAAGGGAAAACTTTTAGATTTACCTATGTACTGTCTAAAATTGAGCAGTTTTGCTATCTATTCCATGTTTGGTCCATAATTCATATCCTCTTTGTTAGCAAATCGTGATGTATTTGTCCTCGTCAGTTATGAAGCTCTAGCATGAAATGAGTGGATTTCATTTAATGTCCAAATTCTTCGAGATTTTTTTTAATGGAAATGAAGTTAAAGTTGCTCAACTTTAAATAGTAGGAGTACAAGATCAAACCAAAGTTACTCAATTTTGAATAGTACATGGACAAATTTGATTCCGCCCCCCCCC